AGAAACACTGATTTATAAATCTGACTGTTTCCAAGATGGCTTGGTGCTATAAAAGACACATACAACCTGTGAAGCCTGATCTATTTATCAAAAAGAAATATTTATTTGCTATTATGTTCCACAAGCAAATTGCTAATCAACGAAAAAATAGTAATAAATAAGTAAATAAACTCACACCAAGTGAACCAAGAAACTTCCCCTGAAATCACAGGGAGACCATGGAATATTCCACAAAGAACCTGGGACTGATCCCAGAAAAGCACCATTAGTACCAAGACTGACATTTGCTGAATTCATTCCGTTTTCCTTCCAGGAGCCCTGGGCTGAGCTCAGGTCTAAGGCGGAATTTGGGCAGAAGACAGAGAGAGACCAGGCAAAACGCTCCCAGGATCAAGAGTGTGGGAAGCAAATGACAGGTGCTTGGTGTGTGTGGACGTGACCAGGGTGCCTGGCCAGAAGCGTTTCCCAGAGGAGGCAGGCTCGAAGCGGGACCAGAGAAAGATGGTGACGGCAACGCGGGCAGAGCTCAGGCAGAGGACAGTCAGTGGTGGCCGTGAGCGTCCAGAGCTCGTCACAGACAGGGACTCTGACACTCCCTACAGACTCAGCCCTACAGAGAAGCTCGCTCAGAACACTTGACACTCGTTGACCCGTCACCACACACAGTGGATGAGCCAAAGTCCTTGTAAAACAGATTGCCAAAGACACAGGAAGCCTGAATCATCTGCCCACCGAGGCCTATAAGCAGGAACAGTCTAGAGAGCAGCCGTCTGTGTCCTGGTTGCTGACCGTACACGTCTATCCACAAAGAGCTTGGACTAAAACTACCATTCACGACCCTGTTTCTCAAACCCAACCAAACACACAACCTTGGCTGTATCCAGTATCCACAGATAGATGTCTGCTCCCCACAGAAGGCCCTGGGATCCCCAGCAGGTCCTGGAAGTGACAGACGGGATCCCTCCACCAGACCTGCCTTCTCCTCCCCTTGCTAAGGAACAAATCCTAAAAGTTAAAAGGATTCATACAACCTGCCCAGTCGTGCCTGCTTCATGTCAGTCTGAGAGAACAAAGGGCACCCTCTTTCCCACTGCTGTCCCCCTTCAGGGAGGACAACACCTCCCCAGTGGTGATGAATAAAGAGGGTCACGGCCCTGGGCAGGGAGGCGCTAACATTTGTCTAAGTATGGGCTCCAGTTCCCCTTTGATCACGGAGCCCTTTCTTCTGGCCCTGCAGGCCTGTGGCTTGTCTCTTCCTGCTTAGGGACAGGAGGTATCATATTACTCCGGAATGCTGCTGTGTCTCTAGCCATCTTTGGTTGGAATCTGCTACTTTGAATGACCAGATGAGTCTCAGATTAGTTTCCCATCATGCTGTTCTTGCAGGTTCAATGGTCAATTCTCATACAGCAGGTGAATTGTCCGATGACGACATCCTGCTGCGAGAGCATTTTAGGGAAGGTAAATAAAACAAACTGGGGGCAGAGAGGCCTGGGCAACAGCTCAGTGCAGGGAAGCACTTGATGCACAGGTGTGAGGCCCAAGTTCAAATCCTCAGAACTCTGAGAGCTTAGAGCATCCTCCAACAAAAGCACCCAGAGCCTTCTAAGGCTCAGTATCCAGGCAGCCAGTGGCATCCTTTCCATCCCTTCCATCCCTATCGCCTGCTTCCTCCTCTTCACTCACAAGGCTTCCTCCCACCAGAGACCGTGGCTTCTCTGAAATGCTAACTTCTCTAACCTTAGAATAACTTATGAGCTTCGCTCCTCCACTACCACCTGAAAAAGAAAATTCTCCACCACTGGGGCCGAACGGGGACCAAAGGAGTGGCAGTCAAAAATATGCTGATGGCCCCTAAATCAAAAATGCCAACCCAAAACACTATTAATTAATTAATTATAGATTAAGTCATGTGAGATTTTTGAAAGTCAAGACATTTGGAAGAAAGCTGCCTGTGAATGAAGGATGACATCACCTACTAGGCTGCAGGGGGCTGGGGGGACAGCATAGGCACTAATGTGCTTGCTGTACAGGCACGAGATTCTGAGTTCAGGTCCCCAACACCCTCATAAAAGCGAGGCGCAGAGGACCATGCCTGTAGACACAGCACCAAGGAGAAAGAAACAGGGCCTGCCACTGAAATCAAATCAGCAAGCTCAAGGCTGCGTGAGAGGCTGTCTCGAAAACTACGGTGGAAAAGCAACTGACAGAGACCCAATGTCAACCTCTGGCCTGCATACGCATATGTTCCTGCATAGATGATGCACACACACGCATACACACAGGCACATGCTCACACACATACGTATGCTCACATACACATGCAGATGCACATGTACACACACATACATACACTCACACACACATACACATGCTCACACATATACATACGTTCACACACACAGGCATATGCTCACACACACATGCAGATGTACATGTACACATACATACACTCACACACACATACATACACTCGCACACACACATAGAGGCACATGCTCACACACATACATACGCTCGCACACACACACAGGCACATGCTCACACACAGATACACTCACACACACATGCAGATGTACATGTACACATACATACACTCACACACACATACATACGCTCGCACACACACAGAAGCACATGCTCACACACATACATACGCTCGCACACACATACATTCGCTCACATACTCACACATACGCTCTCACACACACATGGAAGATGCACACGTACACACACACACTATGAATTCCAGAGAGAAAAGCAAACTATACTTGCCTGTCTTCCTGCTCCCTCTCTTCTAACTCTAAAAGGCCAGAGCTCCAGCCGTATTGGATTATAACGCTATTTCCAAGGAGAGAGGGGAAGACAGAAAAAGCTGGAGTTGAGAGCTTTTTAAAAGCGTCCTGTCTCTGCTATCAAAACATTATTAAATTCCTTCCTTTGACATTCTGACAGTAATTGCACTGCGGGATTGGAGTTTGTTAAAAATTACTTTAGAGGGACTGTTGAGAATTTCCTGCAGGGGAGACCCACAGGCACCCCCACAGGATTCGCTTCAGCTTCCTGTGTTGTCCTCCGACCCTGAGAAGCCCAGCACTCGCCTAACTTAGCACAGAACCCTGGGAAGAAAACATCAAGTCCAGGGGAACACTCCCTGGCTTGCGGTCCTGTCTGTTTTCTGCTGTGACCCACGGAGTCAGTAGTCCGAGCTGACTCAGTCCTGAGGTTTCCCTCTGTCATCTGAGCAAACAGAGACGGAGCCAGGCACCCTTTTTGCATACTTTCCCTATAACAGGCCGGAGGTGACAGTGCAGGACACTCAAGTCAAAAGCAGTGACACACACTGCTAATGTTCCCTTCCGTGCTGACAGAGAAACCGCCTAAAGGGGTGTGACTAAGGCTGCCTGTATGGAGAGGGTCCTCACCTCAGCAGGGACTAAAAGACAGGAGCAGATGGTGACCAGCCAAAGCCTGTCCAGAAAAGCAGCAAGCCACGGGGTGTCCTTGAAGCTGCCCCTAGATTCAGACGCAGGGCAGAGCACTGCAGGTGCCAGACTCACTGGGGAGAACTCAGCCCTGTAGAACTGGGAAGTGCTGGGATTTATTAGGTGGAGTCCTTCACTGATCAGAAGCAGGTGGCTTTTCAGAAAGCAAAGAGGCAGCATTCAAAGTTGAATGTAAAGAAAATACGTGTTTATGCAGAGGTAACCTTAGACCCGGTAACCCCCCCCCCGTGCAGGAAAGAATTCCCCAGCAGCAGCAGAAGTGGACACACACAGCCACAGGAAAAGTCCACTATGAACACTTGCCAAAGCACTGTTCACAATGGCCCCAAGGAGGAAGCCACCCGAGTGTCCATTCGCAAATGGAGAGAGTAACAAACCATGGTGGATCCACATGCGGAAATATCACTTAACTGTGAAGAAGAAAGCACTAGCAAATTATGGAGGTATCTGAGCAGTATTACGCCGCCTAAGACACCAGCAACGCGAGACCATGGTTCCATTTCTGTGAAATATGGAGAACAGGCAAGTCCACAGAGACAGGCAGCAGACGAAGAGTTAGCCAAAGGCGCACAGACGGAAGAACGGGGAATGACTGCTGGTGGGGACGGGGCTCTCGGTGAGGGATAAGAGCTATTTCTAAATTGGATGTAGTGATGTTGCAGAACTCTGAATATTCTTAAAACCATTAAACCAGTTGTGCATTTTATATTGTGAATTTTATCATTATATCCGAATTTCACATTGCAACATGCATTCAAATGCACATGTAGACATGTAAAAATGCACACATATGCATTGTATGCCTTGATTTTGCTTCTTAAAATGAGCTAAGTGACTTTCAATTTTTCTCAAGAATATGGCAATTACTTAAAATTCTATAAAAATAAAAGAACATTTATTAGAGAGCCGCATACTTTTCTCTCTCCTTTTTTTGTTTGTTTTGGGTTGATTGGATGCTTTGGGTTTGAGCTTTTTTGTTTTTTCTTTCTTATATAAATAAAGGTATTTTTTTAATTTTATGTTTATTGGTGTTTTGCCTGTGTGTATGTCTGTGTGAGGGTGTCGGGTTCCCCTGGAACTGGAGTTACAGAGAGGTGTAAGCTGCCATGTGGGCGCTCACTGCTCTCTATCACGAACACAGTATTTAGTGGGCGCTCACTGCTCTCTATCACGAACACAGTATTTAACTGCTTCAAGCTCCTGCCGCTGTTGTTGTCACCACAGTGTGACCTAAAACTTTGAGCCTTTCCCACTTAAGTTGCCTTCGCTGGGGTATTTTATCACAGCTGCGGAAGGGAAGCCAAGATGGCTGCCTTTGGAAGTAAGAAGAGCCTGGCCTGGTGTTTCTATGTATCAAACACTGCTAGGGATCTGGCCCAACACTGGTTCACTGGAGAGAGGCATGTCAGCAGACCCAGAGCCGCAACCGTGAAGCCTGGCTAGGAGGGTCCCCTCAGTACAGACTCGGGGGATCGGCGCATGCGCGGCTCTCACCTGTGAACCACTCCAGCCCGGTGCAGATGCTCCACCGCAGAGATGAGCTGCCGGATGTATCTACGTGCTTCGGCCTCATCCAGGCGCTTCTTCTCGTAAATCTTGTGCATGAGGTTTCCGCCGGGGCACAGCTCCATGACCAGGTAGTAGCTGTTCTCCGTCTCTAAGATGTCCAGCAGCTGCGTGATGTTGGGGTGCCGGATCATCTGCTGGATCTGGCCCTCCCGCCGCAGGTTTTTGGTGACATAGGTGTCCTTTTTGGCTCTCTTCTTATCGATGACCTTGATGGCGACCTGCGGTGAACCAGAAAGCAGAGCTGTTACCAGACGCTGCAGGCAAAGGTCATTCGGTCCTCGGGAGGTTCCAGAACTCTGGGGAAGATGTCGTCCGGGAGAAACCTGGGTCTGGCCCAGAGTGGTGGGGGCTGGGAAGGACACAGTTAGCTGCACAGCCCCTGCCTAGCACACGCAACCATGCGTCCCCTCCTAGCGCCATGAATAAAACAGTGAGCTAGCTCATCAGATAGCATCCGATGAGAAAACTAGAACATCAAAAAATTCCTTTAAAGGAAGAAAAACAGCGTTAACTTCAGCAAACCTGAATCTTGACAACTCAGCAAAGAGACCACGTCAAACTTGCTCCCCACGGGGAGGGTCCTGAGATGGGACACTACTTTCTTCTGGAACTAAGGACTCTGCCACTTGCTTCCTCCGGGCCTGGTGATTCCCAAGGCCCCACTTCGCAAATAGCTACACCTAGAACCCCATCTTCAGTTCTCGGGCACAGTTAGAGGGCTGGGGGAGGGACCGTCACGGATGCAGCTCTCTCAGGCTCAGCTCTGCCCACCCTGTGAGCTGCACAGGTCGCTGTCACACTGCCTCTGGTACCCGGTGGTGGCTCCCAGTCAAATCATTTTTCAGGTAGACTCTAACCCTGCTGTCAAGATCCCACCTCACATAGCAACCACCCACAGACGCCCCTTCTGGGTCTCTTAAGTTGCCTGGAACTTGCCAAGTAGACAAGCCTGATGAGCCAGTGAGCCCTTGTCCTAAACATGGAAGGAGAGCAAACAAAAGGTGAAGACTCTATCATCCACCCAAATCAGCAGAACCCTAAGCTTCCTCTTTTCCTTTGGGGAAGTCACCTCTTCACCTTCCAGGTCCTAAGATACACCCTCTCTTCCCTCTTGATTTCCCCCCTCCCAGTGTGGCCGGGCAGTGAACAGGACTCCAGTTCACCCTGCCAAAGGTTCATCTCCCCATCTGTCCTTCCTCTCAGTCTATTGGCATGCTGACTCCCTCATACCCAGCACAGCTACCTCTGGAGGACGCTCCGGAACAGATGTTGATGCTCCTAGGTGCAGCGGAAGCATGTGTGCCTCACACTCCTCTCTATTTCCTTTTGAAGAACCAGACTTGGTACCCGGTGCAGAGCACACTCAGTGCAACCGAACATGGGTACAGCTCTACACATAAATGAAAGGTAGGTCTGTGCGGAAATAGATACGCTTGCGGTGGGAGGCTCAGATAGTACGCTCTGGATGTTGTTCATGGTCACTAAGACTCGAGATCTCACAAAGACCAAGGTGACTGTGGATAACAGTACTGCACCGTGGGCTTCAACACACTCAGCACATACAGAGGAGATATTCAGTGGGTGTCAGGAACGCTAACGAGCCTGAGGGTGGAAATCATTTCACAACATCCACACATATCAAAACAGCACACTGCACACAATAAACACGTGCACATTGTAGCTGTCAATTAAGCCTCAATGGAGCTATAAAAATACAATTAATTAACAGAAAATGAGAAAAAGAACAAGCCAAAGACAAATTTAAATTAGCAAAACAATGGCCAGTGTAGCAGTCAGCCTGGACGACGGCATCAGTATCCTAACAATTCCACGACCCAGACCTCCCCTGAATTCAGTCTATACTCCACATTGGATATGGATATAGACACTGGATGGAGGGGGCTGTCCCTGGTTTCTGGGTGAACTGCTTTGGGGCTCGCTCACTGCTGCACGCAGAAACAGCTGCACATTTTCGCATCAGCTACCGTAAACCACCCAGGGTGCAGCCCATCTCCAGTGTGTGGTCCCCTCAACCCTCCGAGACATGTCTACACTATCCTAAGTACTTCTGCCACCCTCCTTGCCCCTGTGTGTCCCTACACCCTAATAAGCCAACTCAAGATGGCCAGCAGGACCCCCTCCACAACCCTGCACGCTGAGCTGCTGTCGGGTGTTAAGACCCCCATTGCTAACGAAGGACCTGTTCCCTCTGCACGTCACAGTACATTATAAACAGTGGTAGCCAAGAGGCTACTAGCCAATGAGATGACTGACGAGCACATAACTGTGCGCCCTGAGTCTTCTGTGGCTTCCTCCTAACAGGGACTAAACTCTTAGCCCAAAGATATGAAGAGCAGAGCAATTTCGCAGGGCAGTCAGCAAGGGAACAGACAGGCTGGAGGAGGCGTGCTCAACTCCTCCCTCACAACAGGTCATCTTCCATCTTACCCTGACCTCCCAGGCCAGCGCTCATGGTCCAGCTACAGTTACACTCTGGCTGTGATGTGTCCCAAATTCATTCCAGATGCTAACCTCACAGCTTTATAGATCCTGGCCCGTGTGAGTGTGTGTGTGTGTGTGTGTGTGTGTGTCTGTCTGTCTGTCTGTCTGTGTCTTAATGTATATGTATTGGACTGGAGAGATGGCGCCATCGGTAAAGTGCTCACCTTGCACATGGAAGACCTGAGTTCCATCCCTAAAATCCACAGTGGGGAGGGGAGAGCCCAGCACGTTTCTAAGAGTAAATTTCAGGACCCATGCCCACCTCCCTTGCCAGCCATGCACAAGGCCCACCTCATTCCTCTCCTCTGTAATCTCAGCGGTTTCTGACAAGGATCCCCACAGGCACGGCCAGGACACTGGATTCTGTCAAGTGACAGAATTAACACTGACCAGTGCAGGCTTCTCTCTTTGTATCGTGGGTCTGTGCCCTGATAAACCCATGGCAGGAATTCGCGACAGCGTACCCCTAACATATGACGCCTCCTGGCCCAACGGTACAGCGTGGTGTCAGGAATGGACTGTCACACATGACCACTGACGGGGAAAGGGCATTGGACCACACAGCGCCAGCTCAGGAAATGACTCAGATGGGGTACAGTGAAGTGTACTTTTTAACTGAATATACGTCACCTTTGTGCTATTGCAGTCAAATCATCCTAAATTGAACCATCTTAAGTCAAAGAATGTCCACATTTCCCAACCATCTCCACCTTCTCTCAACTCCTAGAAAGGGAAGGGGGAAAAGGTAACGGCATGACTCAGCAGGGAGTACCTTGGATGACTCAGCAGGAAGCACCTCAGATGACTCATGGCAGACCCTTACCCTCAAACCATCACCTCAGCCCTGCCCTTGAGCTGTCTCACGGAGGTCCATGGTAATAATAATGTGGAAACTAAAAATCGCAAAGACAGGTTCATATCCCAAGTCGGGGAACCTGAAAATGCTGTCTAACTAAGCAAGGGGTTTTTATCAAGATAGTAACATGGGCTTGAGATAGGGAGCTTGCCCTACGTGGATGGAGCAAGTCTCAGAGACCTTCCCAGACGGCCTTAGAGGATGAGGAAGATCAGACAGGCACACAGAGAAGGTTCCGAGAAGGAAACCATGACCAGTATAGTCACCAGAAAACAGAACAAGCCAAGATCTCCCGAGGGTTCCAAGAGGAACTGCAGCCCTGTGGTCATCTTGATTTGGAACTGATAAAGCTGATTTTGGACTTTGGATATCAGATACTGAAGAATAATTTCCTGCTCTTTCAAGCCACCAAGTCCATGACAGTTTGTCACAGCAGCCAGGAAACTAACATCGCATGTCACCTTCATGTGATGTCTTCTTTCCTGAGTCCTGCCAGTCCGGTGGCCCTGTGGGAACACCTTCAAGGATTAAAGCTACCGCAGGGACAGAAGGCTGCCTATTAAACTCTCCTCGTCTTCAAAACAACAGCCTTGCTTTCATTTCACCCGGCACTGACGGGCTCCACACGGATAGCGCTTACAGAGGAAGGCCATTCCGGTTGCACAAAACCATCTCGCCACCTGCATTCACAACAGCTGGACAGGGACACAAGCTGAGCGGGAACCAAGGGGAAAACAATCAACGGTCGACACAGGGAGGCCTGGATTCAATAAGACGGCAGGCAATCAGATATCTGCAGGAACATGTCTAACACCCGTTCCATCGGTGTAACAGCCAAAGTGAGCCTGGGTCTCTGCCGGGAAGAGAAAACTGTGGCGGGCAGGAGAGGTTTAGAGGAAAGCTGTCAACAAACAACCACAAAGTAAGCAGATCCGGCATGGTCTAGACCACAGAAGAGAAGACACTAGTGGCTAAGACCATCACTACAAAGCCACTGAAGGTCAGGGCCACGGCAACCCTGTGTAGGAACTCCCGGTCAGAGGTGTATGTGCGGTTTTTCATTTTCCCAGGTTGGGAAATGTAGAAAAGATAAGGGACGATCTAGGCCTACCTGTCTCCCTGAGAAAATCAAGAGAACCGATTCTCTACGAGGTCCATGAAACCAAGGATCTGAGTTGAAAAGTCTGGGAATTTTACAAAGGTATCTACTTTCAGGTCTAGAGAGGTGTCTCTGTGATGAAGGGCACCGGCTGCTCTCCAGGGGACCCAGGTTTGATTCCTAGCACCCACATAGTAACTCCAGTCCCAGGGGATCTGACAGCTGCTTCTGGCCTCTGCAGGCACCAGGCAAGAATGTGATACACAGACACACACGCGCAAAACATCCTAACACATAAAGTTTTAAAAGTGGAGAAAAAGGAATCTATTTTCAAAGATTGCCCATATTTCCAGCACGCTAAACGGCAGAGCTGTGGACAGGTCTGACGCACAGCTGGAAGATGCTTGCTCATCCATCTATGCCCCCACAAGAAATAGCGTGCCTCCTGAGGCTGCCACCCTCCCTCCAACTTCCTTCCTCTTTCCCTGTCCAAACAAACCCAGAGCCCACCCAGGATGGCTGAAATCAACCTTTAAATAATGAGATAAGTTCACTAGAAAAATGGAAATCCCTTGACATTAATTTCAAAAAAAAAAAAATCAAACAGGCAGACCTAACGGAACACAAGAAGGCTTTGTCCTGCGTGGAATAGCGGTGTCGCTCTCCGGGGTCCACACGCAGGAGGAAAGGACGTGTGGCAGAAAGGAAGCCCAGTGCCTTTGTCACCTGCTTTGCGGGGAGAGAGTCTATGAGTCCTAAGA